ACCAGCCTTTCCTCGCTTCCTCTTTGGCCATGTGCCACAATTATTGTACTTTATACAATAATAAATATATTATCATCTGTACGTAATACAGGGAACTTTTTCTAAATTAAAACAAACAAAAAAAACAAACCCAAAAAACAACAAAAAACAAAGAAAGAAACAAAACAAAAAACTCACTACTTGTTTTAAAAATTATCAAAAACCAGTGAATTATCTCATTTAAACGAAATTTTCAGCACTTATCAATGAATTAATTAAATAGCGAATAGATTATTTTATGATAAAACTTTGTGGAAATATTACTTGTGAGTTATCAGCCACCACATATTTTTCGATACATCGTAAACACGTTTGAAATTGGGCCTTCGTGACAAAAATCCCTGAAGATGTTATTTCATTAAAAATATATACAATATCAAATCGCAAATCCTTGAAAGTTTTTCCTGAAACCTGACAAAAATAATTCAATAAAAATCAAATATTTTCTGTGCATAATTTAATAAAATATTATTTTCTTTCGGATTTGACAGGATAAAATCTACAATGTGTATTTATTTTTGAAAAATTTATTTTTAATTTTTCAGTGCGATTCTGAAATTTTTCTGTTTGTTGATGTAAAAAAATTTTTTTATTGAATAAAAATATGTTTGACGAATCGAAAAATGTCAGGTTTAACGCCGTTTTATCATTAGAAACATTCTTAAAAGAATTTTCTTTCCTTTTTCTCTTTATAACTGCAAGATTATTTTTTGTACAGAAGGTCAAATAGGAAACAATTCAAGAATTCTGAATTACATCTTTTAATTAATTTTCTTATTAATATGAGATATATTCTTGACTAACCTATATAAGATTAAAATAGTTATTTTAAACGTAAACAATATATATCTATATTTAGTTGATTTTATCGCCCACATTTAATTAAATCTGAGGTTTTTAAAATTGGGTTGCAGGTTAGACTTCTAATGTTGGACCTTTGACCTTGTTTGATAGGAAGAATATACCTTGCCGTGCTCATATGTGATTTTCACTATAATTCTAATCGTAAAGTCAATATTTTTACAAATTTCTGTTAATTAATCCTTAATGTTACTATCTTTCTCTGAAACAAATTTCTAAAAAAGATATTTTATTTTAAAAAGATTTTTAAAGTGTTTTACATTTTTTCAATTAGAATTGGCGTCCTGGGTAAGATGATAAACTACATCATCGTCCTGGGTAAGACGATAAACTCCGTCTAACAGCAAGGCATCTGATCAGGAGGTCTTGAGAAGAGTGGAACCACCTCTTAATTGCTGGTGTTCTCAGGTCCACCCTGACCCAAGGTGGTAGCACCTGTTAGAGTCCCAGCTATGGGCAAATGGTTAATCCCCAAACTGAGGTCAAAACACTATGAAAGTGTAAAAATAGATTTTGATACCAGAAATACATTTTTGTAAAAAATTATTACCCGCAATGAATTTTTTAAGGAAAAAATATTACCAGCAATATTTTTTTGAACAATAATATTACGAATAATAAAAAATTTTGTCGGCATTAAATAACTCATTGAGGTTGATATGCCGTTAAAGAAACCAAACCAAATCAATTATAAAATTCGATGATAAATTAACCGTAACAACGTTTTAAAACATTATTGAAATAAATAACAGTATTATTTTTTTAATTTTTAAAAATTAACATTAGTTTCCCCCTTCTCCCCCTCATCATCATTATCACTCCCCTCCCTTGATTTTTGTAATTGTAAGGTGGATCCCATGAGATGCTGAAGCCACACTAACTCTTTTGCGCAACAGTCTATCAATGGCAGCCATCAGCAATTCTGGTACAGTCATACCTGTCCATTGTTTGACATTGGACAACCAGTTTTTGCATTATCACCCTCTCCTGCATCTACCTTCAATGGTGTCTTGCATGATAGTCTTGCACAGGCTGTCATACCTTGTAATGTGTCCAAACCATGCCATTTTTCTCTCTTGACAATGGTGAGAAGAATTTCCTGGTGTCCCACAAAACTTTCAACCCTTTTTCCACACAAACCCATTGTTTTTTTTTGTTCCCAATAGAAAATGCCAAGGAGTTTTCTCATGCATTTGTTCTCAAATGCTTGAATCCTTCTCTCTGTATCTGAACGTTAGGCTATTATCTTTCAAATTAGACCAAAGATTTTACTAAAATGGTAACATTTAAATTATTTAAAATGCATTTTTATGGTTTTAGTCTAAATTTTAGCTCTATCTATTACGCAAATCCGTTGCTAAAAGTTTTATTATACACAGTGGATAATTTTAGTGTAGAAATGCATTGAAAACAAATAAGAAAAAGATTAAATGCAAGTTTTAACGACAGAATAAGGCTTTTATTTATATAGTTACTTATTTAAATTACATAAAACAATGTGGGTGTGCCGTAAGGATTATTACCCCGGGTGGAGACTGAATTGTACAGTCATTAAGTGCGCTATTATTAAATAGCCTCTTTCGTGATCCAAACACAAGAATATTTTCTTTTTATCAGAAGCACCCATCCGTTCATTTCTGTCAGTTTTACCATCCGTCAAATTAATGCTTTGACCCTAACGATATGCAATCTCTATATAAAATGATATCAATATATTTTATTGTTATACGTTATTTATATAGACACAATTATTTAAGTAAATGCTCCGTGTATAATAAACAGTATTAACAACATTTACCGGTCTGAACGTCCGAGAAATTTCATAGAAAATATTTGTCCTCCGACAGGAATCGAACTCGTATCGTACACAGAACTGGCATATAGCCTGACGTGTTATACCAGTTTAAGCTACGAAGGTTCGGTTCCCGTCAGAGGATGCCTACTTTCTATTTAATTTCTCGGACATTCAGCCTGATCAATCTTGTTAATATTGTTTCTTATAAACAGCACATTTACTTAAATATTTGTATCTATAAAAAGAACGTATAAGCAGAAAATATATTAACTAATAAAATGAAATAGAAAATCATGGTGGAGTAATGGTTAGCGACTCGGAAATGAGGAATCGGAGAGCTGAGTTCGAATTCCTGTCCAGTTGGTTACATTCACTTACGTGCTAATACTCTTGAGAAAGGTATGAATAGACCGGGTTCTATAGCCTTGGATGGCAAATGGTCTACTGCAGAAAGAAATGGCAACTTACTCAGTCATGTATCGAAAGTAAGCGTGATCTCTTAAGCGTGTATCACGCACGGCACATAACTGACTGATATATAGTCTGTCTCGAGGTTGAAAGAGTTGCATAGTTCCAGTTGGTTTTAGTTGGCAATGTCTGAGCAAAAAAAAAAAAAAAGAAGCTATAATTTCGTTATTCCTTTCCGAAGGCGTAGCGAAAGATGCCTTTCAAAAGCTAAACAAAATATTAAGAAACAGAAATGTTGTGTCTCGGAAATTTGATCTATCTATTTCTGATTCTAAATAAAAGTGTCCTTTTTATTTACACTATTTACATTGTTCGGACTATCGTCATATTCACGACGTTTCGACCTTCTTCAGGTGATATACATTGGGATTTCGAACCCAACCCTTTATTTAGTCCATACCGGGGTAGATTGTTCTAGTTCTATGTATCATGCCTTTTTTTGAAGATCTCAATTTCAGTTATTTCCCTTTAGTAGCTCAACTCTTTTGGGAGTTGTGAAAAACTTGGAGAGTTGAGTTACTAAAGGGAGATAACTGAAACTAAGTTATCCAAAAAAGCCATGGAAATAGAACAGTCTACAGAATAAAAGGTTCGGTTGGAAATTCTAACGTATATCACCTGAAAAAGGCCGGAGTGTACAAAGGCCGAAACGTCGTGAATATGACAATAAAGATGAGGACAACATCCCGAGCAATGAAAATTGTGTAAATAGTTACAATACCTCATCTCAGAAATATAGAAAAGTGTTCTTTTGTTAGTATTTTTCCTAAAAACTTCTTCGTTTCTTACATAGTCTGTCTATGGAATTCTCAGCATCCTCCTGTAGAATCACATTTTAGTTTCCTCTGCCTCGTTGAGAAAAAATCCACAGCATTCAGCATAATTTATAGATCGATAACGTAATGACGAAGAACAAAATATAACGGAATTGTTCTTTACAAAACTTACGGTAATTCATTAAAAGGCCAAAAGGTGAGGGAAGTCAAATAAAAATAGGAAGATTGTGTTGCGCCAATCTTTCAAATTTAGTTATCGCGTCTGTTTTCAAAATTCAGCTTAGCTTTAAAGGACAAAAGTTGAGGGTAGTTAAATGAAAGCAGGAAGATTTTATTGCGCCAATCTTTCAAATATAGTGAGCATGCTTGTTTTGAAAATTCAGCTTAGTTTAACATATTAAAAGGCCAAAAGGTGAGGGTAGTCACATAAAAGTAGCAAGATTGTGTTGCGTCAATCTTTCAAACTTAGTGAGCATATCTGTTTTAAAAAATTCAGCTTAGCTTAACACATAAAAGGCCAAAAGGTGAGGGTAGTTAAATGAAAGTAGGAAGAATATGTTGCGCCAATGTTTCGAGTGTGGTTAGCGTGTCTGCTTTAAAAATCAGCATTCCAAATTCAGACTTTTACCTCGACAACAGCTGTGAATTCCTTAACCAGCACCTTCCTCGAAAAACAGATTATATTTGTGGTGGGTAACCCATAGAAACGGCCATTTTTAATTAACATCAACACATTTTTTAATCATTTCTTCTCCAAGAAAGGCAATAAAGCTACTAAGACGCATGGAGTGGGGTTACTGAGTGTGTATGAGAAAAAGAAAAAGAAAAACATTATTAAGGAGAGAGAACAATAAAAGAACCGAAGTTAACCGTGCGCATGCGCAGAATTATAAATTAGACTCGTTTTCATAATTTTTTCCGCATTTACAAGCAGTCTATAATTGATAAGTAGTTAAACCTTTTATGCTGTCTTTTTTTTGTTTTTGTTTGTTTCTTTTCTGACATTTTCGACCAGTATCACTTTTAAACAGGCATAGTTCTCATCTTGAACCCCGTCACAGTGTCCAACCTCTTTTTCCGGACACTCCCTGGCCAGTTCTTGTCCTTCAGTCATTCAACAATCCACCTTTATTCCATCTACATCCGATCACTTTTGCTCCCCACCCAGTACATTTTACATTTCCCTTTCTGTATTCGTCCTCACGACAGCCGTCCCCGTCTTCTCGTTATTGGCAATCGAAAGTTGCTAGCGTATCTGTCCCATGAATATTCTATACAGTCAATCCAAGTAATTATAAAAGGGGTTAAATTCTTGGTGATATCACAAACAAGATCATAGCACCCCACCCAGTCATCGTTGCTAAGATCGTCAATAACAAAGATGACAGACAGAGAATAGCGAATCGAGGATTTTGGGTGGTTGTGGTGGTGGAACTGTTGAAGAATCGTCACTGAAAATAGCGACTGGGAAAAGACTGGCGTTCGGTGTGGGTCGAAGTTTCCTCTTTTCATTTTCTCGCTGCACGCCGAACAAGAAGGAAGGAATCAGTTCGATGACGGAAGTAACTCAAGTTTTTCATTCTCTCTTTACCCCATTCACAAACGCGTGATTTACCACGTCAAATCAATCATACGACTTCTATTGTCGTCTGAGCAAGTAACGTATCGCATGGCCATGTGAATCACTCGTCTTTCTGTCATTCTGGAGGAACAGTTCAAGTCAGACGAATCGGTCTTCTTCCCGCTTATCGTCTCTTCGGGCTGATATTGCCGTTCCACTGGGTTTAGGGTGGAAAGATATATGTGACTGGCCGTTGAAAAGTCGAGGCAATACAAAGACGATACGACACGTGGTAAACTCAACAACGTATTTTATTTACAGATCGTGACAGCTATTAATTAGGAAGATGTGATTAAATATACTTTAATGTTTAAAAAAAATATTCAGTATTATTGTTTAGGTAATAAGCATTAAAGCATAGCACAAATAGCTATATTGTGGAAAAAGGAATTTTTTACATTATACGCATTTTTTACGTATTTATGGTTATTTTTAAAATTGTATCAAAAATGACATTCTTGTACATGTAATTATGGATAACATTATACATTAATTACTATTTTTTTAAAATTAATGACTATTTGTGCTCAGTTTTTGGCATTAATAGTTATCTGGTGACGTTAAAATTTTGGAATAATGCAATAATAAAAATTTAAATTTCATCTCTCTGATAAAATGTCGCGATCTGTTAAACTGCACGCGGGATCCGTCTTGATCCCAGCATTCCCTAGTGCAACCGGAAGTCCTTACAATCATCATCATCATTAATGATGTTGTTATAACAATTCACCTTTCTTTTAACCTGTACAATTTCAGAGGTATTAATATCAATTCACCCTCATTCTCTCAAGATAAGTATTATGTCACTAAGTAACGCTGTTATTGCTTGCCTTTTTGACTAGCCTTTCGTCTTATGATTTATCGCAACGCTCAGGTCGTTTTTATATTCTACGACCGTTGAGTAGTATATTTCGGAATTAAGGAATAAGTTTACTGTGAGAATTGAACTTATTTTACCGCGACAGCACTTTACCTGTTAATTTACGAAAGCTCCACCAATCGACGTCATAGAAATTAGCCGTATAGGTTGTTTTTTTATACTAATGTTCATCCGATACAAGGCCTAAGAGCCACTCAAGGTAGAGGGTTACTGTGTATTGTTGCATGAGTGTAAGAAAAGACAAGAAGTGAACTTCATTGGGCTATGCAGGAACGATAATGGTTAACCCTAGACTTGAAGAGGTCAAGATTGTAGTGATTGGGAAAACATCCTGTCGAGAGTCTGTTCCACAAAGCAACAGTTCTTAGGAAGAAGTTGTCAGTTGGAATACGAAAGGAAAAGATAATGGTTAACCCTAGACTTGAAGAGGTCAAGATTGTAGTGATTGGGAAAAAAAACCCTACCTGGAATCTGTTTCTCAGAGTAGCAGTTCTTGGGTAGAAGCTTTTTGAACGGAATACAAATGGAATACGAAGGGCAATGAGGTTGATTCAACTTTGTGTACGTGGCATGATAAATTCCAGCTTAAAAGGCCAGGGCTGGTGCGATTAACGAATGTAACTCGTCAGATCGCTATTTCTATTTAGAAATACCGATCGAGTCTCACGACGTTTCGACCGTTGGAAAGGGATTTTCTTCTTCAAACACTGCTACTACGCCATATTGTCTGTTTACACTAGTAATATCAGATATACTTAATCAACATGCCAGGCATTGCTGTTGTGGTTTATATAGTAATTTTTAACAGGATGGTCTTGCTAGAACCAGGACCAACCAATTTTGAATCCAGATTTGTCGTCCTCCTAGAGAACCCAGACTGCCCTGCGATTTGACTCATGTGTTCATGCCTTTCCTTCCATGAAAGGGAGTGTAACGAACTCGAATGGAATTTGAACTCTTACACCCTCATCAGATTTGATCTCTTAGGATGGAAAATACGACATCGAAATGCGAAGGCGCATTGGGTTAGCGAAGCATGCCTTTCAAAAGCTAAGCAAAGTATTAAGAAAAAGGAAAATTTTGTTAGAAATAAAGAAAACAGTGTTGAAGTATTAAGTAATATCACTTCTCCTATATAGCAGTTAATACTGGACAATTTCATCAGAGATGAAGAAGAGACCCGAGGCATCAGAAATGTGGTTCTACAGAAGGATGCTGAGAATATTATGGCCCGAACGTGTGAGTAACGACGAAGTTTTAACCCTTTAACTCCTACGTTCCTGAACAATTTTAACCCTTCTTGCCTGAGCTTCCGAGTCAAAATTCGCAAGTCATTGGTATGTAATGTTTCATGGAAGATATAAAAATAGTTACAAGAAATATAAGCATTATACTTAGCAGGGAGAGAGTATGAGTTCATGCCTTCCTTTTATCGCTAGAATTCTTTCTTGGTGTTCCAGTTTACTCAAATTAGACAACCAACAGCAACATACGACGCAAGAGTTTACCCACCGTTCAAACGTTATCACATGTCATTCATTCACATCCCTTTTCATTCATTCATATCACATCTCTTTCATTCACATCACCTTTCATTCATTCATATCACATCTCATTCATTCACATCACCTTTCATTCTTTCATATCACATCTCATTCATTCACATCACCTTTCATTCTTTCATATTACATCTCTTTCATTGACATGCTGTTTCCTTCATTCATATCACATCTCATTCATTCATATCCTCTTTCATTCATTCATCATTATCTCATTCATTCATATCCGCTTTCATTTATTCCATTTACATATCATTCATTCATATTCTGTTTCATTCATATCAGATCTCTTTCATTCACATCCTCTTTCATTCATTCATATCACATCTTTTTCATTCACATTCTCTTTCATTCATACATATCACATCTCATTCATATCCTCTTTCCTTCATTCATACCACATCTCATTCATCATAACCCTTTTAACATTACCTTCTACCATGAGCAGCTATCAAACATAGTATTGGATGAATTTTAGCATAAATATTAGTTCTCCAAATCTCTTGCTATGCCACAAGCATCATCTATATATCTATCTTTCCACCAATCTTAATTCAATGGCGAACTGCAGCCTGGAAGAAATGATTCGCTGGCAATAGACATGATTCTTATCGGCGGACAGAGGCAAATGTAAACTCGTAATACGATTAAGTTTACGAAATTCAGATAAAATCTTATTTAGTTTAAATAAATAAGAAGGACAATATAAATGGTAGTTTACTCTCTCTGTATTCATGTGCCGTATTCCTTCTAGAAAAAGGGATAGGGAGAAGTGGAGAGCCATGATCGCCTACGTCCGGTAAGGACACGGCACATAAAAAGAAAAAAGATACAACAAACCAACTGTAAAAATGAAATTAGATAAAAAGATGTTTGAAAAAATAATTTGATCATTTTCTCTTTATGATTTGAGAACACAGACCTTGATGACTTCAAAGACACTTAAATTACATTTTCTATTATATTTTCGAAATGCAGTAGAATCCCTCATATCCGGAGTGCCTCATATCCGGAATCCCGCATATCCGGAATCCCGCATATCCGGACATGATTTTAATGTGTATGTTTGAACTATTTGGGTGATATGTAACTGATTTGAAATTTGTGTTTTTTAGGAAATTTGCTTTGGATAATTGCTTTTACTTATTTCACCCTAATGGCTTGCATTGGCGCAAAAGATGATGGAATTAAGAAGAAAAGAACAATTTTGGAGTTATGGCAAAAAGTGGAAATTTTAAACAGACTAGATGCTGATGAAAGTTCATGGTAATTCATGGCTGAGTTCAGCATAGGAAAGTAACATTGTATGATATAAATTCTTCCAGAGAAACTATTCTCCAGCGTTCACACTATCACAATGAACAAAGAAATAAAAAATAGGATTGTGATGAAACCTAGACTGAAATTGAAAAAGCTATTGAAAAGGTTGTCAGTTTTATGGGAAGAAAACCAGCATTCAGCTATGATGATTGTAATAACACACATCGAGTTAAAAAGTGTCATTGGTTTAAAAAATTTCAAGAACAAAAGCAAAACGAAATGCGGAAAAAGTTGAGAATGACATTAGAAGAGAAAGAATCATCATGCAACAGCGATTAAAAAATCCTCGTTACATTATTTGTTTTGCATACGTGGCATAATTAATTTAATGATTTTTCATTAACATTACATAATTTATTTCTTTTTCCTTAAAATCAATTCCGTTATATTTCACTCACCATTAGCTTATTTTGTTTACTATAAAACATTGAAAATAGATGTTAAACCTGATTTCAGTTCTTTTATTCTAATCTAAATATAACCTCTCATATCCGGACTTTGTAACCAATTCCTCATATCCAGAAGACCTTCTTAGTCTGGTAGTCAGGGATTCTACTGTATAACCCTTCATATCCGGACTTTGTAACCAATTCCTCATATCCAGAAGACCTTCTTAGTCTGGTAGTCAGGGATTCTACTGTACTTTTATTGCTAACAAATTATACTTATATCTTTTGTTTATATTAAACTATTTTGAAATAACCAAATAATTTTAGTTTGATGAATGTTTTGAACATTCATCACAGATTTCGCCATGCGCAATTGAAACCAAGGCTGGTGATACGCGGATCTTGAGGTTCTACTCTATATACTAGCCCCCCCCAAAAAAAATTACGTTTTTTGAAAATATAGAAGAGTCATTTATATTTTATTTCTTTGAATTATATTTTTCGAATTGATTTTATTTTAATAAATGTTTTGAATGCTAAAATCTTGCGGAGTTAACTAACCGCGGATAAGTGAAACCGTTCCAACACTTCTTATCTGCTGATATATTTTTTCGATATTTTAATCTTCAAAATATCGAAAAAAATATAATCGAATTATTTATCTAGCATTTTGTTTGCATTGATATCAGTTTAGTTTTGAAAACATTGACTAATATTTTATAATAAAATCAGCCCGTGTGTAAATTTGTTCACTCTTCTCAATACTGGCCAAGTAGAAATACCTCACACGCTGTATAAAAGCCTGGCCTAAACCATATGATGTAAATCTCCTTTAAGTAGGAAGGTATCACGTAGACTAAGATCAAAACGAGCATTATAAATTTAGGTAGACTAAGACCAAAACGTTTATTATAAGTTTAGATAGACTAGGATCAAAATGATGTTAATAAATTTATGTAGATTAGGATCAAAATAAATATTATAATTTTATGTAGACTAGGATCAAAACGAGGATCATGAATTTATGTAGTCTAAAATCAAAACGTTTATTATAAGTTTAGATACACTAGGATGAAAACGAGAATTTTAAATTTAGGTAGATATGGTAACACGTCCTTATACAATAAAATAAAATTAGCGTATCGAATTAAAAAAAAGCTTTTATTTTCATGTTTTAAATCCGCCATGATTCTTTGCAAGAGCACGGATCCCAGTGACGTTAATTTAACCAGTAAAACAGAGAGAAAAAGTGCTTTTCTTATTGAAATAGCTTATTTGAATATGGTTCTTTAGCCATTTCTGCCTATCCGCGTCCAACGCCAATCTTCGTTATTTTCAGACAACGGCTTTGTTCGTTTCTTTCCATCGTTACATCTCTTTACTTTACTTCTTTCCTCTTTGCAAATTCAAGAAGCGTGATCGCTTGAACTGATTAAATCGCATCAGAAATCCAACCCAGTAGTCGGCCATTAGCTACCTATCCGGAACCATTCCTGTCCAAGTATCCAAGTGTAGGTTGTTTGGTCAGTGATCAATAACAGAAGAGGATTTTAGATGGAGATAATGGCGTCGTCATTGTATAATTGTTTGAAAGAGGAATTGACAGAAAAAAAAAAACAACAGAGCGTGCGTTTGTGCCTGTTCGTGTATTTGTGTCGAAAGAGAGAAACGGAATGTAAGAGAGGCGGAGACACAGTAGACCAAAATAGGATTAGATAGATAGATAGATAGATAGATAGATAGACAGATAGATAGATAGATAGACAGATAGATAGATATGAACAGTCTGAATATATATATATATATATATATATATATATATAGATAGATAGATAGATAGATGTGTATAGCCTGAGGTTAGATAGATAAATAGATAGATGTGAATAGGCTGAGGTTAGAAAAGATATATATATATATATATATATATATATATATATATATATATATATATATATATATATGTGTGTGTGTGTGTGTGAATAGGCGGAAGAGCGATAGATAGATGTGATTAGCCTGAGGTAGATAGATCGAGAGATAGATAAATATGAACAGGCTGATGATAGATGTGAACAGGCAGAGGACAGATAGATAAATAGAAGATAGATATGAACAGGTTGAGTATAGATAGATAGATATAAACAGACTGAGTGTATATATATATATATATATATATATATATATATATATATATATATATATATATATATATACAGAGAAATAGATAGATAGATATGAACAAGCTGGAGATAGATAGATAGATAGATAGATAGATAGATAGATAGATAGGAACAGACTGGGATAAATAGATTAGGATAATCCATGTCTGAATTTCTGAGATAAAGTGTTGTTACTATTATAAACTAATCCATTCGAACCAATTCCCTTGATTTGTTTCTTTGATTTTATTTGTTTCGAGATAACAAAAAGACAGCATTTATTAAGAGCTTCAAAATACAGGAAATTGTGGAGGGCCATGATCGCCAACGTCCTGAAGCAATGCAGCACATAAAAGGATAATAATGAACTTGTATAAATGGATCACGAAACAGGAGAGATAACAAAAAACATTTAAGATCCACGAAGGACAGGAAATTGTGGAGAGCCACGATCGCTTAAGTCCTGAAGGTACAAACAGCAAACAGAATAAGAAGGTTATCATTAACAAACTGGCTGCACACATGCGTTGTATTAGGTTGGAAAGAAAATCATGTCGCATTTGATGACAGCAAAGAAACAAATGCTTCTTTCATCTTAGTTGCTATATTTAATGAAGGTAATCTTTCACATTGCTATTGATAACATAATCTAATCTGTTGAGCATAATCTAATCTGTTGAGCAAAGTGTTGATCGGGTGCAAAGTTCTTCAAGTTTCGCTGCAAAGAAGAACTCTATAGAAGTGTTAACCTCTTCACAATGAATAAACTGTCATCCTGTAAAAAGTGTTACAATGATCTGAACATATGATAATCAGGTTAAGAGATTAAGAAAGTCAACATGTTAAAACCCCATAATCTTTTCCTGAGTGATTCGAGCAATGAATATAACGCTAATACGCATTGGCTTATCGAAAGAGGCTTCCCAAAAGTTAATCAAAGTATTGGAAAACAGAAAAAAATCGTTAGAAACAAAGAAAAGAGTGCTGGATTGTTATGTGATAACAATTCTCTTATATGTCAGTGAATACTGGACAATCTCCTCACTGACGAGGAGAAAACCGGACGCAACAAAAATGTGGTTCTACAGAAGGATACTGAGAATTCATTGGACGGGGAGAGTAAGCAACGAGGAAGTCTTAAAGAAAATGGCAACAGAAAGAACAGAATCTTTCTTTTTATTTATTCATTTTAATGTCAAATTAGATGTTTTGTTATTTTTCAGATCTTTGAAGTTAAAATGGTAAAACAGGATTTTCGTCAAATTCATCTCTACTAGCATAACCTCGGTCGCCGTGCAACACGAACGGCTAGAATCTATCAAGAAAATTTGGTGCCAAGGAAATTTGGAGCCAATGAAGTTTGGAGTCAAGTAAGTTTCGAGCCAAGAAAGTTTGAAGCCAAGAAAGTTTGGATCCAAGAAAGTTAGGAGCCAATGAAGTTTGGAGCCAATGAAGTTTGGAGTCAAGTAAGTTTGGAGCCAATGAAGTTTGGAGCCAATGAAATTTGGAGTCAAGAAAGTTTGGAGCCAAGAAAGTTTGGATCTAAGAAAGTTAGGAGCTAATGAAGTTTGGAGCCAATGAAGTTTGGAGCCAATGAAATTTGGAGCCAAGAAAGTTTGGAGCCAAGAAAGTTTGGATCCAAGAAAGTTAGGAGCTAATGAAGTTTGGAGCCAATGAAGTTTGGAGCCAATGAAATTTGGAGCCAAGAAAGTTTGGAGCCAAGAAAGTTTGGATCCAAGAAAGTTAGGAGCCAATGAAGTTTGGAGCCAATGAAGTTTGGAGTCAAGTAAGTTTGGAGCCAATGAAGTTTGGAGCCAATGAAATTTGGAGCCAATGAAGTTTGGAACCAAGGAAGTTTGAAGGCAAGGAAGTGTTAATGAATACAGTGCAACGTTGGTTTTAAAAATTCCCTCGTGGTGCATTCAGTTCTACCATTGACGACGATATGAATTGAAATGTTTGGTGGAAGCAAATCAGCACAGAAATGTTCAAGAACTTGCAGGAGAACTTGCAGGAGAACTTGCAGGAGAACTGCAGGAGAACTAGATCTGAGCATGGGAAATTTTTCCGAACATTTGAACTGATGGGAATGTCCAAGAAACTTGAAAAATCGGTACACGGGAATTGAAGGAAAATCAGACAAATTACTCTTATAAACAGCTCTGAAATTCCTTTTACACAATGAGGAAAGAAAGATTGGAAAAGTTAACCTTCACAGGGCATATTGAGTGTAAGAAAGATAAGGGGATAGCAGAGAGCCACACCCGCTTGACGAGCCTGTGTAAATTGATGGCTGAACAGGGAATAGGAGCTTCAGAAAAATTAGGAAAAAAACTGCTAAGGGTCACAAAGGCGAGGAAGCTTTGGAGAGCTATGATCATCCATGTCCTGAAGGGACGCGGCACATAGAAGAAGAAGACGCTTTATTTGCAAACCTTTGTGCAAGACTTTGACAACAAATATTGTTGTCAAAGTCAACAATTTTGACAACAATATTTGTCAACCATATTGATAACAATATTTGTCAATAATATTGACAACAACATTTGTCAACAATATTGACAACAATTTTTCCGCGTCAAGTGTTTCATTTCGTTCTAGTACTTTATAACAGATTTCATATCCCATCAAACATGGCAAAATTCTTTTTTTTATTGGTGTAGTCCTGCTCTGGGAATAGATTCTCTTTTCTGCAGTGGGCGCTAAGCAGTCGTTTTCGTTGGAGTTGACCATAGGAGAACCCACTTCTCATTATGATCGATGATTCTATCCAGAAAAGGTTTCATAGCAAGTTTATTCTTCACTATTTACATTATTCGGGCTATTGTCCTCATCTTTGTCGCCATATTTATTACAACGTTTCGGCCGTTGTACACTCCGGCCTTCTTCAGGTGGTTGGAATGTCGAAATGAACCCTTTATTTCGCTCACTGGACTGTTCTAGTTCCACGTGCCATGTTTAGTGGATGTCAGTTATCAGTTATCTCCTGTTAATTCCCCTCTCCAAGTGCTCCACTGCCATAACCGGGTATTGAACTCACATTCTTTGGGTCCTGTCACTGGATCTAACTAGTTCAATACCCGGTTAAGGCAGTGGAGAACTTGGAAAGGGGAATTAACAGGAGATAACTGACAACTGACATCCATTAAAACATGGCACGTCTACCACAGTGAGCGAAATAAAGTGTTCAGTTCAAGTCTATTCTTCATTTCCATTGATCAAGTTTCGACAATTTGTCTGGGTTCATGAAGGTGTTAATGATCGAAGTATGATTTGTATGGAACTGTTTCGTGAGCTTGGGATTTTCCTTCAAATACACTTAGCTTGCGGCCATATCATTTTGTAACACCGGTTTCTGTATGATCACCGAAGTTAATAAAGAATAAATTCATTGTAAATCATCCTTTGTTTTTCTTGGTTCCATCAATCTCCAGTTATGCCTCTAGAACGGGGTTATTTATTATTTTCGAGTAAGCGGTTCTGGTACGATCACAGAAGTTAGGCAACGTCGACCCTGGTCAGTATCTAGATGGGTGACCGCTTGGTAATACCAGTTGCTGTAAGCTTAAATGTGAGGGTGGTGTAATGGATAATGGCTCAAAATTGTTAATCAGAGAAATGGGTTCCAATTCCTGTCGGGCTTGTTATATTCAGTGACAAGCAAATATCCTTGGAAAAGTATGAATCTACCTCTTCTCCCCCAGCTATGGGTTAATTAGTAGGACTTGTATCAGTGAATCATTATTATCTGCCAGAAACTTCTTACACTTATCTTCTGCGTTTAAATAACTGGCAAAAGGTTGATAAACCGTAAAAACAAATCAATTAACTTCTGTTTGCAGAAGATCAATATTAACAGAATCTGGTCGTTAAGATTGAAGGGAATCTTTGAAAAATTTCCAGACCAAGATTAGCGACTAGACCGGACACTCCGGTTCCATAGACATAGACGAATTTCTTGCAGCTTCCATTACCGAAGAGACAATTTTAATTCATATAATGCCTGATTTTGGTCGGAATTTAAACCAATTTTAAAAGTTGTAAAATCAATACAAAATTGACTCTCTCTTATATTAAGAAATCTTCAAAGCAAGAAAAAAATTATTACTTAAAAATGAATGGTTATTTTTACCGTAAATATTGAAAAAATATTCTCAAATTGATCAAAAATGCAACAGGAAATTCTTGATAACGTAATACTTCATTGTGAATGAACTTTCCATACCTTTTTAAATTAAATGTATTATACAACAAAAACAATTATAAAAGGG